TATATGCACTTGAGTGCTATGAATTTCCCGGCACATGAAATTTGTGCATGAGTACAGTCCCTAGACCTGGCCTGTGGTCAATGCCATCTTCTTTGGTTGCCAACAGCCAGCCCTGCCCCCTCCCCCCTACTTACCCCCTATTCCCCATTCACCATCAGGCTACATGAGCCTGCTGGCTGGCAGGGAGGGACTGAGATGTTGGCCATTCCTGACTGGTGGGGTGGGGGCCTTGGGCTGGTCCCACCGGTGTCTGCTGCCACCCATTCCTGTTTCCTCATTCACCTTTTGGTGATCAGAGCCTACTGGCCAAGGGGAGGGACTAAGAAGTTGGCCCTTCCTGTCCCCCACCACTACCAAGCCCCGGTTCCCGTTTCCCATTGGGCATTCAGAACCAGCCACAGGGGGAGGGACTGAGAGGTTGATCAGCAGGCCCCAATAGGGTGAGCTGGGGGCAGCTCCTGTATTGAGCATCTGCTCCCTCGTGGTCAGTGTGTGTCATAGCCTTTCCACTATTCGGTCAATTTGCATTTTATCCTTTTATTATATAGGATGGATTATATAGGAGTATATTGCTTAAATCTTAAACATATATGCTTCTCATATTTTTAACATTTTTTTCTTTTTTTACTTAAATGTAAACTATATTTCTACAAGTAGTGTTGTAAAATGAAAAGTTATGTTGAATTTCTGAACTTTTGGTTAATATCACCACATTAATCTCCAGATGAGAGCATACCCATTTATATTTCCTATAGCAACAGATGTCAATTTCTAATATCCTAACTCCCACCAATATCTGGTGTTACCAATTTTTAAAAGTCCTTGCTAATTTGATAAGCAAGGAAGAATATCTTCGTTTTAAAGTATGCTTTTTTAATATTGCTCCTTTGATTACATTTTTACTAATCAGTTTTCCTTTAATAAATTGCCTGTTTTTATTAATTTGTGTGCAAGTTTTTCTCTTTATTTGTGGGAGCATTTAAAGTCTCATTTTAAGCAGAAGAGTGCAGTTACATCTTCTTTCTAGAACCACAATTCTGTTGGTTACGGAAGATACTTGATGGTGATTCTAATTAGGGAGAGATAATTAATGAAGGTCAGAAGTTGTCTGTGGCAAAGTGGATTCAAAGTGGAGAAGGAACCTGAAGGGTTGGATAATTGAATGTGGTAAGTGAAGGAGAGAGAAGTTTCAAATGAGGCTCATGTGTGCACTGTGGATATCTGAGTGACTAATGAGGCCTTTAACAGAATTTGGAAACCCAGGAGGGTGAAGAAATATAAGAAAATACAGTGAATTTGATTTCTGTAGAGGTTGAAGCCATCTGCTAGAAGTTAAATATGGATCCATTACTTGCTCAAGAAAGAAGATGGGTGGGAGAAAATTGGGAATTATCTGCATCTAAACCAGAAATATAAAAGTTCAAGAAAGATGTGTGGCTGCTGTGGCTCAGTAGTTGAGCATTGACCTATGAACCAGGAGGTCATGGTTCGATTCCTGGTCAAGGCACATGCCCAGGTTGTGGGCTCAGTCCTCCTTGTTGGGCTTGCAGGATGTAGCCAGTCAGGGAGTCTCTCTCTCATCATTGATTTTTCTCCCTTCCTCTCTGAAATCAATAAAAATATATTTTTAAAAGTGGTCCAAGAAGATAAGAGATCAACCGAAGGACTTATATACATGCATATAAGTACAACCAATGGACACAAAACTCTGGGGAGGGAGGGCATGTATGGGAGGGAGGAAATGGTATATGTACAAAGATAATAATTTAATTAAAAAAAATAAGTGGTCCAAGAAAGATTTAGATAGATTAATGAATTTTAATTGCCCTCGGTTATAAGAGAACCTAGAAAAATTTGGGGTTGTGAGGTTGAACTTCTTAGAAGGTAATGATGTCATACATATCACAGATTATTCCCTGATAACCTTTGTAGATGTGTTGGATAAATAATTGGCCTAATCTGGAGTTGTCATTGCTGGATAGTAAATGGTCACAGTTGAATGATATGCCCAAACAAATGGCTGCTATCAAGAAAGGAAATTCCATGTTCTGTGATTTCCCCTTCTTCCTCTCCCCCCCATCCTCCATATTCTTTGTACATAGTTCAGCATGTGATTTGACTTTTGTTTTCTTGACTGTCTTTAAGACTTTTTCTGGCATATTTTTTTCATGGTCTATTGTGACCTCTAGATCTCATATTCATGCAGACAATCTGTCCTTCAGTCCATCTCTCTCTTCATCCATACCTCTCTATCTTTATCTTATTTTAATTTTTATCCCTTTATTTATGATTTGTTGAATATATGCATATCTTTTAGGGTAATATTACCATTTTAAAAAGAGCAGTGATTTCAAATATTTTAACCAAGATCTTTTTTTTTTCTCCCTATGAATCCCTGTTTGTCAAGATGCTTACTACCAAAGTGTTAAGTATATTTGTTTTTCCTTCCTGTCTTCACTAGATATCTATATATTTAAAAGTCTAATATGCAAAGTGCCCCCTTGGGAGTTCAACAGACTGGGAGTTTGATCACTGGCAGTGATGTGCGCTGACCACCAGGGAACAGTGTGGAACAAAGGAAGGCCACAGCCGGCAGCCTCTAGGGACCCTACCTGTGCACAAATTTTCATGCCCTGGGCCTCTAATGTGTAATAATGTTAATTCTAAATTTTCAAAATGTTGAAAGTTTTCAAATTCCTAATCCTGTCTTCTAGAAAAATCCTAAGCCTCTGAGCACCTGATTGAGGAGGTGGTTCTTCTTTGGTCCTACTGAAATAAAATAGCATGAAGAAACATCTCAGCCAACGAGTGTGTGTGTGTGTCAAAGTTGAAGTAGCATATTGTAGTGGGAGTGATTAAGAGAACCTATTCTGTGGCTTTCACTCTTGTCTCTTGATAGCCTTGTGATCTTAGGCAGGTTTTTGTCTGTAATCCCTTTTTCTCATTTCTTAATGCAGAAAATACTCATCTCACAGAATATTTACAATAACTGTATTTACATTATTAAGCACTTGAAGGCAGTACCTGGTACATAATAAGTCCTGTGGATGTATTAAATTATTTTTTAAAAAAGTCTGATTTCTTTTTATATAATTTTGAACTTTAAAATTTGGTCAGAAAGAATTTTAATAAAATTAACATTTAAACCATTTTATCAATTTTGTAAAATGTTTTTAGTATAGCTTATTTTTTTAAATATATTTTTTTATTGATTTCAGAGAGGAAGGGAGGGGGGGGAGAGAGAGAAACATCAATGATTAGAGAGTCATAGATTGGCTGCCTCCTATAGGCCCCCTATTGGAGATCAAGCCCCACCATCTGGGCATGTGCCCTGACTGGGAATTGAACCATGACCTCCTGGTTCATAGGTTGACTCTCAACCCCTGAGCCAAGCAAACCAGCTGGGCATTACCAGCTGGGCATTATTTTCTTCATGGGGTGCAAAATTACACCCAAGAAGGGCCATTTGGTCATACTGCCAACTTCTCTTAATTTCAGATTGTAAACTTGTCAGTTAGCCCCATTTGAAATATGATATTTGATTAGGGCAATCAGTAAACAAAATTTTTCTGCAGTTGCCACACTGATTAGGTAAATTGCTCCTTGTGTTATTGGCTAAGTCTTGGTTTGTGTGGTCTTAGAAACTCTAGAGCAGTGTTTCCCAACCTTCTCTCATGATGAGAATCACCTGGTGGAGTTGTTAAAACACAGATTCCTGAATCCCAACTAAGAAGTGCTAAACTAGAATTTTTGGGAACATATAGGTAAAATTGTATACTTAACTAGTGCTCTAAGACAGATTTTATATACAGAGCACTAAGTTAGGTATGCAATTTTACCTATATGTTCTCAAAAATTCTAGTTTAGCACTTCTTAGTTGGGATTCAGGAATGGATACATTTTTAAAGATAAGTGGAAAAATTATCTGTCATTTTTCTTTGCTTGCATATACATTTCTGAAGTGCAATTCACTATATCAGAATTTTTTTTTTTCTCTCTCTCTCAAATGGATCTTTCTCCTAGAGCACATGTGTCAAACACAAGGCCCGCGGGCCAAATCCGTCCCGCCAGGCCTTGCAATGTGGCCCGCACCGCGCTGTCATCACTGCACTCCGCTGCGTTTCCATCACAATGACAGTTTATGACTGTTCAGTAAACCATTCGGCCCGCGATTTAGGCTGGATTTTAGATTTTGGCCCCTTCTCTGATTGAGTTCGACACCCCTATCCTAGAGCCATGCAAATGAATGATAGTTTTTTACCTTGTACTTGTGGACTAGGAAATGTTTCTTCTTCTTCATAAATATTTAAGGGTTGTAAATGTTTTGCTCAAGACCACATGAGGAGATTTGTTTAAAGGTAGCCTTGAAGTTTGTCTTTGATTCTTTTTAATTTTTTTGGATTGAAAACAAGATGTTTTAATAATTGTGTGACACAGTTTTTAAAAGTCTTGCAAAATATATTTAGATTTTAATAAAGAACTATATTTCTTAATATGTGCTGAATATATTTATGAAAGAAACAAAATTGTTCTAGAAGTAAGAAATAATAAAAGCAAAATAGAGGGGGAAGTAGTTGGCATACCAGGTAGAAATGATGGAATGAGAATTTGTGCTGTATTTCTGGGCATTTCCAGGTGTTCTAGAAGTATGGTACATGAATTGCACGGGTAGGGGGCTGGCCGGTGGGGGCAGGTTGGCTGCGGGATCACACTGACCACCAGGGGCAGCTCCTGCATTGAGTGTCTGCACCCTGGTGGTCAGTGCATGTCATAGTGATTGGTCGACCGGTTGTTGCATCATAATGGTTGCTTAAGGCTTTAATATATATAGATAGGTAGATTATTGAAAGGCTTCTTCTTTTACCCAACTGGCGTGGCTCAGTGGTTGAGCATTGACCCATGAACCAGGAGATCACGATTCCATTCCCAGTCAGGCCATGTGTGCAGGCTGTGGGCTTGATACCCAGTCTGGGGCATGCAGGAGACAGCCGATTAATGATTCTCTCATCATTGATGTTTTTATCTTTCCTTCTCCCTTCCTCTCTGAAATCAATAAAATATATATTTTTTTAAAGTGTTTCCTTTCAAGAATAAAAAGTATTTATACTTAATGTACTTTACATTCCACTTTAACTTATAACTATTGGAGTGGTTAACCTAACATGTAGCATATTTGAATCTAATAAATATGTCTTTCTGATGGTGATAACATTCCCTCTACTTCTGTTCCTAGGAAAAAATATACTAGCTTCTTTTTATCTTGATTCAGTTTTAAATTTACATATTTGAGATCCTATATGGGCGTTTCTGTAAGTACCATGAAGATTATGTATTATTTAGCAGTCCTAATATATAAAACTCTGGGTTGTAACGACCAAGCCTCGACCACCTGGAAACTCAATGCTGACTGCTTTCACTGCAGGCAGTGTCCCAGCACTGACTGCTGAGGGGGCTGTGAATCAGGGTCAGAGAGAGGCCTGAAGAGAAGCAGGGACTGATTTGTTGCCTCTGTGGCAGGTTTTGATCTTCACTTGCTTCTCTCTCAGTCTGGCCAGCAGCCACGTCTCCATTTCTCTCCAGGCCTCCACTGGGGCTGCCGATAAGCCCAGAGATGCTGACTGGCATAGGAATCAACCAATCAGAACCAAATCTGGGTGCTGGGAGCCAATGGTTGTCTAAGAGGCAGAGCTTTTGAAACTGACTGGCATAGAAACCCACCAATCAGAACCAAACCTGTGTGCTGTGGGAAGCCAATGGCTGCTAGGACCAAATTGGCCAGCAGAGAAGGGCCATTGGGAGCAAGATCAGGTTGGCAGGAGAGGGCTGTTAGGGGTGAAATCAGGCAAGCAGGGGAGGGCAGTTGGGGACAACCAGGCTGGCAGGGGAGAGCAGTTTGGAGCAATCAGGCAGGCAGACAGAGGCAGGTAGGGGCAACCAGGCCGTCAGGCAGGTGAGCAGTTAGGAGCCAGCAGTTCCAGATTGCGAGAGGGTTGTCCAAGTACCGTATTGGGTCTAAACCGGCAGTGGGACATCCCCCAAGGGGTCACTAATTGGAGAGGGTGCAGGCTGGGCTGAGGGAACTCCCCCTCCATGCACGAATTTCATGCACTAGGCCTCTAGTCGTATATAATAAAAGCCTAATATGCAAATTGACTGACCAGCAGAATGATGGACAGAATGACTGGTTGCTATGATGCCTACTGACCACCAGGGGGCAGATGTTCAATGCAGGCGCTGCCCCCAGCTGCTGTGGCAGGGGGCGGGGTCAGCAAGCAGGTGCCACCAGGCCAGCCAAGGTGGGTGCCAGCGGGGCCTCCCAATTGCCCCACCAGTCGCCCCGCAGAGTTTCCCTGGTTGCTGGTCAGGCCTAGGAATCCTACTCTTGTACAAATTTCGTGCAGTGGGTCTCTAGTACCATTTATAAAGAAACAACCTAGAACCAGAATCAATAAAATAAGTCTTCATGGTAAAGAGGGCATGTTTTCAGACTGACCACAGTGATTCTGGCACATGTGAAGTACAGCACTACATGGGAGTCTAAATGAAATTTACTGTATTTCTTGACTTTTGTTATTTTAACTAAAAATAATTCTTAACTAATTTTCACCAACCTGACTTTTGTACAATTTTGAATAGACCAAAGGACTTCAAGTTTAACAAAGTAATTATCAGAAAAAATAGCCCAAATGTTGATTTTATTTTCCATAAGTTGCTTTCTCATACATGGTTAACTCATTGAAAAGGGTATAATGTGTTAAGCTAAATATGCCTTGAGTTTTTCCATAGAAATAAACCACACAGATAAAATGATGGTTATTGTCTTCTAAGAATTTCTGGCTTTACCTTTTCCAATTATGACTTAACTCATAGTGTACAGTCTGTAGTAGTGACTTGGAAGTTATTCTGGACCTAGACTAGTGATCCTTCTTGCCCTGTTTTGTGTGGGTTCTGTGGTGATTAACTTCCTGAGTTCCCACTCAGGTTTTGAACATAAAATGACCACTGTGATACCTCCTCAGCATTGCTTCTCAGTTTGACTGCTACTAGTTTGGTTTTTAAGAGATTCAAAAGGGACCTAATTCAAATTAACAGAGATGCCACCTCTCTTTCAATTTAGAATAGGATTCTTCTTGGAGATATTGATGATGAAGGCTTTTTTGTTCTTTTCCAAGAGATACATATGGTGGGTTGAGCTCCATGGACCTAGGGTGAGCAGGCTATGGAGCTGCAGATGCTGCTTGTCATGGCTGCTCCCCCAGGTGCAGCTTGTCCACGTAGGAAACTTGTTTCAGGCTAGCATTGTCAGAGCTGAGGTAGGAGGAAGGAAGCCCGGGGCAGAAATAGCCAGTTGTCTCAGGCTGGAACCATTGTGAGCAGCAGGTACTGTACTTCGTTCCATATTCTCCTTTGCAGGGGAATTCTTTCTTTCCTTTTTTTTTTTTTTTTTTTTTTTTTTAAGTAAATCAAGATTGCATTTGGGAGTGGGATATCTAAATCTAAAGAAAGATAAGATTTCATTTCTTCTTCCCTTTAAGAAAGTAATTTTGAAAAGCATGTTTCTAGTTTATGTTTCTGTTAAACTGTGAGCCTGAATACATTATAGTAAGCCTTGTTGCCCTTGGGTCTCAAGAGTCTGGAGGAGGTTACTGTCCTTACAAGTGAACTCATTAGACAACTCCTGAACCAGCTGTTTTAATTAGGTCACACACCAATCCCGCTGAAGGGTGCCAAGGTGACTGCAACACTGGAGACCAGAGTGGCAGTTGGCTGATACCAACCTACTGAGCTACTAACCTCTCCTGCTGACCAGTGTTATGGGGTGTTCCTTTAATCCCACTTATGTTGAGGAGAGTAGCCATTTAATTGTTTCTTATAGCTAGATGTTGCTAGTTCAGATTGGTGTTAGGGGAAGAGGTTTGACTGTCAGAAAACAGTGGAAAGGTGGGTGGTCCATTTATTAACACGTCTTTCTGGCCATACTAGAGAGATTGTGTGCTCTCTGCTCTATGTTATGATAGCTAGGTAGGTCAGGGCTCCTTTTCAGTTTATACATCTATGAGGCAAATTTCAGGATTTCTATTAAAGTTACTATACATTAAATTTGTATTTGTGGGGGAAAACCTAATCCATTCCTTTAGCATAGCATTTAAAATATAAATATAAAAAAATACACACACGCACACACAGCAAGAGAGAGAGAAATGTATGAATTTAAGGACCATAGTTACTAAAACTGTGTTTTGTTACTAAAAGTAAAAAAAACAAAATTAATTTACTGACCCTGTTTAGTATCTTTTTACATTTCCAGTCTGTGTAAATATGCTAGCTTACTTAGTTCATATTGTCTCAGATTTTTGCAAGAGTTAATTATAAAATATGTGGGTAGTTAAACAGTGATTACTTATTTAAAACACACACACACAAAACAACAACTCCTGTTTAACCTTTCCCTGTTTATTTTTCAGATATGAGGCCCCAGGATTCCTGGCGAGGTCCTCCTCCCCTTTTCCAGCAGCAAAGATTTGACAGGTAATAATAAAGCAAACATCACTTTTAAATATTTTTTCGCTTCAGCATGTGAAATTTGGACTTTTCTGTTTTGAAATATACTTTCTTCCCCTAAACAGTTTTTCCTGTGCTTGTTCTTTAGGAAAATAGACGGTTAACACATTGAATTAAAAGGCTCGTGTTTATATACTTTCCTACTTTTCTTGGTCCTTGGCCTTTATTTTATTGAAGCTTTTGAGGTGCCCTGGAAAATGCAACACAGAGAGCTTAAAATTGTATTAGGTTTTGGTAAGGCTAAACAAATTTCTTTTTAGAAGGGTTGTGCAGCTTAATGAGGCATAACTAATGGTGTTCCACTTTTATCATTTCTGGGCTGGTAATGCAGCACAGTACAGACCAACCATTGATTCTTGCTGCAAACCTCTTGAAGTCCTAATCAGCTTCTTTGGTACAACTTTTTCAGGGCTGACAAGCCTATTGTAGGGCAGTGTCACTGTAGGTCAGTAGTTATTAGTTGCCACTGAAAACAGTTTCTTTAACTACTTAAGACTGAACTGAATTAAACGCAGAAGGGACTTAGAAGAGGATTATGGGATCTGCAGTCTAATAAGTACCATGGACTAGGAAGAATGTGACATGGTTTAATAACAAGGGATGTTTGACATGTGTTTTTTCATTGATAAGTTGTGTGCTTCTAAGTCAGGTGGTCTCTACAGGACAAGACAACTAGGCATGTTATGAATAATTATATTAACAGCTGTAGAGTAATTATATTAACAGCTATAGTATAATTTTTAAAAGGACAGTTTTAAAATTTATCATTTCATGCTGGTGTGCTGCCTCAGTTAGTGCTAAAATGAATTAAGCTCTGTCATAGTAAGGCTTCCTTCTTTGCCTTCCTAATTCTAATGTGTTTTATTCCCCTTTCTGTTAGTGTTTTAGCAGTCTGATCTGTTCACATGTAAATTAAAAAGTGTTTTGTTATGAATAGGGTTATAAATGCTACACCCCTTTTAAGAAAACTCTTTACTAAATACTAAAAGACTCTAAAACTTCATTATTTTCTTCAAAAAAATAAATCATGTTATTCAATTGTTTATTGTCAACTGCTTATTGCAAGCTGCATTTTAGATTTAAGACAACTGATATACCTATATTTGTTTTGTTTCTAATATAATTGCTCAAAGCACACTGAATGTACTCCTTCAGTATCCTCAGAGTTGTACCATTTCCAAAGAAATTAAATGAGTAAAGGGTAAATATTTTCTAAATTACATAGTAGCACATAAGAGCTTATTTCTTTTTAAATAACTCTTACTGAATTACTTTTGTCAAGTTTGATTTTAAGACTTGACTTTCCTCTTTCTCATATTATTAATAATTGCTAACATTTATCTGCTTACAAAGGTATCAGCACTGTGCTAACATGCTCTTAAAAACATGTCTTCATTTATTCCTCCTAGCAACCGTTTGAAGATTCTGTTATTTTTATAGATGAGGAAAAGAATGAATGCACCCGGAAGTTCAGTAGCTTACTTAAGGTCTTCCTTCTGTACCATTCTTGACTAAGAAATTTTTCACTTGAACAGAGCTCATCAGAATACTTACTCTGAACATATTACAGTAAAGCCATAGGAACCTCAAAGGATATAAAGGATCTACTTCCACTTCTGAGGCATACTTCCTTTCCCAATAGCTTTTCTTTCCTCTACAAATTAAACATTTTCTTCAAATTATTACCATTGTCCTGGTGTCCATAATATTTTTTTGTTTTTTTCTGCCCTAGCCAAGTATTGGTATTATTCTTACTAACTTTATGAACTCAGCAGAATAGGGACAAGTTTTGTGGGGCATTTTTGGTTTAGCTTTAGTCAGAAACTTAAAACCAGGCTTTAAAACAAAAGTTTGATGTGAGCATAATATAATTCTGTTTTATGTCTTAAACCATGGTCATTTAAGAAATACATAATTTATTCATAAAGAGAGTTTGAATTTAGTTATGTTAAAAACTTCATTAGCTTATTAGCAAATACAATCTATCACTCATTGTGGTAGTACTCTTTATCATTCCAACCTTAGGAGACAGAGGAGAAAGTATAAACTTATAGTCACTTTGACTTTGCTATGATGTCACAGCTAGTAAACAGTAGACATTCTTGCTAGAACAAGATACTGATCCTTAGTTTAGTACTTTTCCACTGCATTGTTTTGAATGTTTGCTTGAGAACCCTATAGAAAAGAAAATTTTCAGTGTACATATTTTTCTAAACTAAACTCTTTTAAATTATTTCCTATTCTGAGATAGTATTTATATAATTCATATATTCATGTCACTGGAAAATACAACAGGAGCACACACACCCCTTGCCTCCCCACACGAAGACAGCCTAATGCTGATACGCAGAGTTGCCCAGCCTGCTGCATCACTTGAGTTCCGCCCCATTATTCTTGGTAGCGGAGGCTTGTCTTTTTTAGCCATATTTAAAGTGGCCATTTAGTCTTTAACTTATGGGTGTTAAGTTTAGTTAGGCCTGGAAAAGCTTTAAAAACTCAGATTGCCATTTGTACAAATTAAAAACATCCAAATTGGAGTCATTACTTCACATTGCCAGCTACTTTCCAAAGCAGTAATTAGGTACTTAAGAATATTGTTGCCATCTTTGATGTCAAATAGTTGCCTCAATCAGTAGCTAGTAATTTTTAAAAGTTAAAGTATGTTAGCCTCAACATTTCTATCTCATATTTAAAATGTATTTTCCAAGGCAAATTTCAGTTTGTATTTATCAGTTAATATAATTAGTATAGAAGTATGATAAAACTTGTGGAAAATAAAAACCTTTCTGCCAGTAAAGGAAAAAAAGAAAGAACATGTATGCCTCTCTGCCCCTCTTACCTTGTTCGTTCTGTTTGATTTTAATTAAATTATTTTATAAAATTTATCTTTGTCAACATATTAATTAGTAATTCCAAACAAAAAGGAGAATTTAGTTTTTAACCTATTTTTAAAATAAAATAAAATTACATGTATATATATGTATATATGTATATATGTATATATGTATATATGTATATATGTATATATATACATACATATATATAGTATGTGAATCTTACTAATAGATTTACATGTAACTCAGTTGAGTGAGTTTTATCATTGTAAAACTGAAAACAATCGATTATAGTTATTACAATGTGTGAGTTGCTATTTTTGGTGTGTGTGTTTTGCATTAATGGCCCAGTTTTGATGAGCCTCTGGTCACAGCAGAAACCTTACCCTCTCACTTCGGCAGAGACCAGAACAGACTACTCCTGTCTCTGAACACGGAACTATTACTACTAAACAGATGAAGCAGTCTTGCTAAGATACATTTGTGTTCATAATGAATCCAAAAAAAAAATAATTCAAGGCCCTGAATATATGCACATTCTTTCTGAAAAGTAGATTTGTTTTATTTGGATTCACTTACAGCAAGAGTCCTAGTTTCATCACTAACTGTGAAGAATAGCTTTGACCTTTTTAGAGTTCTTCAGAGAGCTGTTCTTTAAGCTATCAAACAAAAATAATCATCTTTGGTGTTTAAAAAAAAAAATAAGGCAAGTCTAAGTGAAGGGAGGAGATTGGAGGGTAGAAAGGATTGACTTAGGCTTGAATAGCTGAGAGAAGAATGCATTATCCAATGAGCCCAACTTTGGGCTTTTTTCCCTAAGACCCAGGAGGTAAAATTCATGTGTTAATACAGTTATAAGCTTATTCCAGGTTGTCAGTGCTTTAGCAGGTTTAAAGTTTATTGTAATTCTTTCTAACATCTTTAATGGTCCCAAAGCTTCTAATGTTAAAATATACTGGAGAATTCTGCTTTTGTTTGTTTTTTTGTAGTGACTGTTCTGTAAGATTGAAGTTGAAAATGTCTCAAGGCGAAAGTTTTGTTTTAAATGGTGATTGCCTTTGGAAAGATGTCTTTGCTACATTGTATATTAATTTAAATTATGATTTCATGCATCATACCTATTGCTTTGTATTTGTAAAGTTAAAATAGGCACTTGAAGACAATTAAAACATTTCTTTTGACTAGTAATCTGGGCCGGCAAACTGGGTTATAATAGCTGTTGAATCTGTGTTCCCATGTAAACTGTACACCAAATGCCAGTCAGCCCATGCCAATTAGTGCTCATGTTGCTAGGTCACCGTGGTCAATTGAGAGCTGCATCAATAGAACTTGAAAAGGTTTCCTCCCGATCAGACCTTCTGACATATTGAGCAGAATAATGGATGGGAAAAAACAGCCAAGTCCCCTACCCTGGATTCAAAATACTCAGCAGTAAGAATTCATTTGCAACCTGCAATTAACTAGAAAGAATGGACTCCAAGAATGAGTCTGGACATTTTTAAAAATAAAGCCTCATTTTCCTGTCTTGTACATGTTTACTCTTTGGATAGCATCTTAAATGTAGCCAACTTGGAGATCTTGGTCCAAATCTTTACATAACTAAAAAGGAAATTTCACAATTGTAAATGAATAAAATATATTTTTTAAGCCAGGCCTTCCTGAATCACTTAAGGTTTAAACATTCTTTAATAAATGCTGGTACTTTATGAAACATTAGACTACACTGGATATGTGGGATACAGAGGCCACATATATCCCATATGACAAATGCAGCAAAATTGGATTACAAAAATGATACATGCTTGACTTGTAATTGCAAAAATGATACCTGCCGATTTTAGGCTTTTGGCTGTATAACATGCTTGACTTGTAATGCACACATGATGTTTTCCCACAGGGGTGTTGGGGCTGAACCTCTATTGCCATGGAACCGGATGCTCCAGAACCAAAATGCAGGCTTTCAGCCAAACCAGTACCAGATGCTAGCCGGGCCTGGCGGGTATCCACCCAGACGC